ATAGTTAATATACGTTTATTATTTGTTTATGAATATCACAATTTTATTAATGGTTTTTAAGGCTAAAGTGTGCTTTAACTATTGGGTGCATTAAAAGCAGGGTAGGTAAAAATATCGCTCGCGATCGCTATTTTATTTATATCGCTCGTTTTAAAATTCAAAATCGCGAGTTTTATTTTTCAACACGCGAGCACAATTTTAATTAGAGTTTTATGTGTTTTGTATTCGCTTCGTAAGCGATATTTACATGTTTTTGTTTTTTTCAACTCGCTTACGAGCGAGTGGAAAACGAGTTGAATTCGAGTTAAATTCGAGCCGAAAATCAGCAAATTGTGTGTGCAAGAAACAGGTTCTGTTGTGGTAGTAAAAAAGAACCATTAATATGGGAAATAATTATGTATGTGTGATTGTGTAGCCGTAGGTTTTATGACGGTCTGACAAAGCAAAAGTGGGAAAGTATAAGAAATATATTGTCTACCTTTTTATTTAAATGTGTGTTTTTTATCTGTAGTAATGTATGTACATATGTATATTGATGGACATGCAAGTGATCTTCATCATTTTCTTTCTTACAAATATAGTGAAAACAACAAATAAATTAAAAATTTTGTTTTTGTTTTCAATATATTTATAAGAAAGAAAATGTTGTCGATATTGTGAAACAGGCAGTTAGATTATTGATTGTGAATCAAATGGTTTGGAAAATTTTATTATGAAGATAATAAAACACGTGTTGAATGATGTATGTATGTATGTATGTATGTATGTATGTATGTATGTATGTATGTATGTATGTATGTATGTATGTATGTATGTATGTATGTATGTATGTATGTATGTATGTATGTATGTATGTATGTATGTATGTATGTATGTATGTATGTATGTATGTATGTATGTATGTATGTATGTATGTATGTATGTATGTATGTATGTATGTATGTATGTATGTATGTATGTATGTATGTATGTATGTATGTATGTATGTATGTATGTATGTATGTATGTATGTATGTATGTATGTATGTATGTATGTTGTATGTATGTATGTATGTATGTATGTATGTATGTATGTACGTACGAAGTGTCTCCTACTTTGCAGCAAATAATGTACGTACATATGTATTTGTGTACATAATTCTAATGGGAAACTTATTTGGTTATGTCATATTTCTATATAAATTGATTATGCCTTATAAATTTACATTTATTCCATTTACAAAATTATAAAACTCGCGATTAACTCTTTTTGACTCGAATCGCGAGCGAGTTCTATTTTACGCTCTTTAAATTTTCAACTCTTATCGCGAGTTTAAAAATTAAACTCGCGAGTCGAATAGATTTATTCGCCGGAAAATTAATTATTTAAATCGTACCCTGATTAAAAGCAAAATAAGATTTTTTATAAATACAAGCGTTAGATTTTGAGTAGATTTTAACGAAATCTAGTTATGAAGTAGATTTTGTTTTGTATGGGAAATCTAGTTAAAATAAAGTAGATTTGGCTCGAAATCTCATAAGTACTAGATTTCGTGTATGTGTAAATGGGGTATAAAACTTAGGTCTACTTTCCTGTGATAAATGGAGTTTGTAAGTGTTTTGGTATTTAAAAAATATGGCATTGCAAAAAATAATAGACACAGTATTACACTGGGGACATAAGCTGAGATTTATTAAACTACGTTTTGTTATCATTTTTAAAAATTTTAATTATAAATGAAATTTTTAATATAAAAGTATACTTTTTACTTTAATTTTTATGTTAACATTTGTTTTTTCGAAACTTGATTAACCATATGGATCCTGAAAGCTCAATTCTTCCAATTTTTTCTTAAAAAAAATTTCAGATATTGAAAGAAATGTCTTCTAATGGTTAAATTATCTAAAAAATTTGTTTTTGAGAAGATTTCGAGAAGAAAAAGTTTTGAACCCACTTATAGATAAGGACAATCCACCGAATTTTGGGCCAAATTTCGAGCAATATTTCGCTATTTTGCAATTCGACCTGTTCTTGGTGGTTCACAAAACCTAAAAAATTTGAAAATCAGTTTGAATTTTAGGTAGTCTACTGTAACGTAAGTTCAGATAAAATGCACCATATTAAAACATCAGAAAGAATATTCTTTGTAATTTTTTCCATAAAATAAACGAATTAGATTTTAGAAAAAATAATGAAATAAAAAACATATTTTATTTCCCTCGTTTAAAAAGATTCTGTTTTATTTTTTGCAGTATATCGAAATTTTTATATTCCTTGAAATTTTAGTTTTAAATTCAAGATCTTTGATATTTAAGCTCCTTTTTTACCACCAAGAACGGGTTGAATTCAAATTTTATAAATAAATACAGAACGCAATTTAAGAAATCTCAGCTTATTTCCCCATATATACAAGCTGTGCTTGCATAATTCTCACAAAGTATACAGAGGTGTCACTTTTGACATTTAAAAAAGTCTAAAATCAGCTTTTGTTTGATTTTGAAATTGTTTGGTGAGAAGAGGTATATATATATACAGCTAAAAAAAATTATTGAATTCGTTTTGTGCGAAAGAGAGGGAAATAGTTTTTTGCTCGTGACGCCTCTGTATACCCTGTGATAATTCTGTTTGTAGTGCCTACGAATTACGTATGAATGACTGTCATCTCTAATTATACCCTACACCACTTTAGTGGGGAGGGTATATTGGATTTGTGCTAATGTTTGTAACGCACAATAATATTGGTCCTATACCCACCTTAAAGTATACCAATCGGCTTAGAATCATTTTCTGAGTCGATTTAGCTATGTCCGTCCGTCTGTCCGTCCGTCCATGTAAACCTTGTAATCAAACTACAGGTCGCAATTTTGAAGATAATTCAATGAAATTTGGCACATGATCTTCTATTGGCCCAGGGACGAAGCCTATTGAAAATGGTTAATATTGGTCCATTATTTCACCTAGCCCCCATACAACTGAGCCCTCGAATAGGGCTTGTAAACCTTGTAATCAAACTACAGGTCTCAATTTTGAAGATAATTCAATGAAATTTGGTACATGATCTTCTATTGTCCCAGAGACGAAGCCTATTGAAAATGGTTAACATCGGTCCATTATTTCACCTAGACCCCATACAACTGAAAACGACGAATAGGGATTTTAAGTTTATAATTATGTTTAATATACTCGTATCTCGACAAAAAGCTGCAAAACCAAGTTCTATACTAGCCTTGATGACTCGCATGAATTTTATAATTATAGGGTCTCATTTGACCATAGCCCCTATACAAATCCCCCTTCAAAATTTGACTTAAATGTCAACAATTTTATTCAACAATAAATGGCTTAAGTATATGTATCTGACACAAGTCAACTTAAATGCTTTATTATGAAAACTAAATCACATTTTATTTTTGTAACAGGTGTAGGGTATTATATGGTCGGCCTCGCCCGACTATAATTTCTTACTTGTTTTTACCTGGTATTTATCATAATCAGCAGTTTGTATTCATTTGCTGAAGACAAATAAAAAATTAAATTACAAAAAAATAGAAAATATATTACTAAATTTGTTAAAACAATATAACAAACGTATTTTTGTATCATACACACACGTATTCCAAAAAATAACAAAATAATGAATTAAAAAAACAACATGGCGGTAAACTGTTAAAACGATCCAGCAAATAAAGAACTTCCAAAGAAGCGAAAAAGAAGTAGAATTTACTCCATGAATGTACTGAAAAAGACCTGAAGAAGTGATGATTTTAACACGGACTTCTCATAGGAGTGATGTCCTTTTTATTGGATTCCAAATTCACTACTTCTGAAGTCATTCTCAAGAAATAATTTGTATGGTCTTTTTTGGAAGTTATTCGGAAGTGAAATTGTAGTATTATAGAATACAACTAATTTGACTTAAATAATATTAACATTAATAAGGATAATATACACATTTATTACAAGAGCCCAAAAAAAATATTTATCCCATAAAAATGTAAGAACAAAAAATGTATCTTCAACATTGAAAAAACAGAATTATTTTCGCTTCTTCGGAAGTCTTTAAACATCACTTCCTCAGAAGGTAAAAAAATTCACTTAGTGCTTCTCTTGAAGTGGTGATAAACGTTGTTCATTTGGAAGTACTTCGTTTTATTTTTGCAGAGGAATTACGAATGTGTCGTGAAAAACGGGTTAATTGTCTATTGTAATTCAGAAGCCGAATTAAGTAATTCAATTCTTCCTGCGAACTGGGCATAAAATATCCAATTTAATTATTGTTTTGACAAATTTTTCTTTTGAGCTAGATACAATTATTAGTATACCACTGTACGATTGTACTTTGCACGATATTTTGTTTGTTGATTTAAAAACCGTTAGTTTAATGTTAGCCCGTGTCTAGATTTGATTTTTGTTATGCTAAACGTTAAATTGTTAACATGATAAAAAATTATCAGGTATAGTCACCATTTATTAGCGTTATAGCATCGATATGACAAAGTTTTCAGAACAATTGATTAGATAACAAAATTGTTTATACACAAAATTTACTTGGGTAAAATAAATTGTGGTTTGCCGTGATAAAAATATCATTTGTTTCCCATGTTCATCGATATAAACAAATAGTGGTCAGCTATGATTTCGACGTTTTGCTAGGCATTGTGATAAATATTTATCAAGTATAGACAAGGGTGACATGGAGACGAAATAAAATTAAACTTGAGGTGCGTACCAGCCATTAAGGAGATTTTTCAAACTTTTTATATACACTTTTGTTGTAGATATAGAGTTGTAAAACATGAGTACTACTTTTCTGAGTACTCGGTACTTAGCAATATATTAATTATAGCTATATTTAAGTAAAGGTTTTTAGTTTTAAAAAATTTAAATATATTATATATAAGAAAATGTTTCTTATAAAATTACTTCAAAATAATTTGTAATATAATTGTAGTTGAACTTTTATTAAAATATAATTTGTTGTTGTATTCAGAAAAAAGCAGTACATCTTGAGTACAGAGTAATCGAGTATTCAATATATTGACACCTCTATATCAAAGGGTTAAAATTTTTCTGTGAAAAATTAATTTTTTAATACAATTGGAAATAATTGCTAGAAGAGAACTGAAAATTTAATCTTTATGTATTGTATCAGCCCAAAAAAGAAGCTGCTGAAATTGGACTTATTTTCTCGAATTGTATAATTCTTAAGTTAAACTTAATGCAGTCAAGATTAGATGAAAAACTGTAAAACATTTTCTTCGGAAGATTTATGGTCGGGGCAGGAGGTAAATAACCACGATGACGAGAACAGGATCCTGAAGTTTCATAATATAAGAGTTTACTGTGCAAATAGTTTGTTTTACTGACATAAAACGATAGTAAAACATTTTTTTTATATACATACAAAAATCCATCATCACTACCACGAGATACTCAACAATAATCAATATGAAGAAAGATTGAATGAAATGCCATTTATAAAAGAAAAAAGAAACAAAACAACTTAAAAGTACATATGCAGATCAAAATTCAATTTAATCTGATATTTAAAACGTAACTTTTTAATTACGGAATCAGAATATCTAAATAAGCAATATTTTGTCTTGTGGAAAAGCACTTGTGATGTGACAAAAACTGGTAATAATTTTTAGCTGAAAATCAACCGCTACTGTGCCATCCTTAGTGTCGTACCGGAAAAGCTTATTTACCTATGTACGAGGAAATATCCAAGCCAATTTGTTCAGATATTGTTACCAATAAAGAAAAGTGTGGAGACTCATTTAACATACAGTCAAAGAAAGATATTACAGGTATTAGTTTTATAAATCCTGATCTCAGCTAATTATACATTAATCATACATTGAATATGATTGTTTTACAAACTCAGCTCCATCAAAGTAATAGAAAACAATCAACGAATCAGTTAAAAGTGAAGCGAGTCACTACAAATTTGTTTATCGTTAAGAATTATTTAAGAATCCGTAAATTGGCGACATTGGCAGCTACTTTTCAAGGTCCATGTCACAACCAGTACTATCATTGCCTTCTACAAAAGAAAAAACGCCATCATCATTACTAGAAACTAGAAATATTAATTCGCCGAATCATCATAGTAAATCAATCACATCAGCTCAATCTTCATTAATTAAGATGAAAACGTTATCATTAACAAACCCACCACAACCTAGCAAACAATCATGCCCAATTGAAAGTGCTGCTTCTCCAAATGCTTCTGCTATTTCGACCAATACATTGACAATAAAAAATGCCGGAGTCATAGCTAATAATTCTAGTAAAGAATACTCTGCTGATGCTGCCAGTAATGGAAATGTTGTATTTGTACCAATTTCTAACAATTCAATGGAACCGTTTTCATTTCACGAACAAATTTTAATGTCTGGACAGGAGAAAAGCGCTTTGACAGAAAAACCAAAACCACTGGTTGTATCGCCGCAGCAAGTGATGATTCTATATATGCATAAATTAACACCATATGAAAGAACTGAAATTCTTTCTTATCCACAGATCTATTTCATTGGAGCAAATGCAAAAAAACGTCCTGGTGTCTTCGGTCCCAATAACTCTGACTATGATAACGAGCAAGGTGCTTACATTCACGTCCCACATGACCATGTAGCATACCGTTATGAAATGCTAAAGATTATTGGCAAGGGAAGTTTTGGTCAAGTAATTAAGGCATATGATCACAAAACTCATGAACATGTAGCCCTTAAAATAGTTCGCAACGAAAGGCGATTCCATCGCCAGGCCCAAGAGGAAATTCGAATTCTTCATCACTTGAGGCGGCAGGATAAGTACAACACCATGAATATAATTCATATGTACGATTATTTTACATTTCGTAATCATATGTGCATTACATTTGAATTGCTTAATATCAATTTGTACGAACTAATAAAGAAAAATGGCTTTAAAGGATTTAGCCTGCAATTGGTTCGAAAATTTGCACATTCACTTTTACAATGCTTAGATGCACTGTACAAGAATGAAATAATCCATTGTGATATGAAACCGGAAAATGTCTTACTAAAACAACAGGGACGCTCTGGCATTAAAGTTATTGACTTCGGATCATCATGTTATGAGAGTCAACGGGTGTACACCTATATTCAGTCGAGATTTTACAGGGCTCCCGAGGTCATATTGGGTGCGAAATATGGACGTGCTATTGACATGTGGTCACTTGGATGTATATTAGCTGAGCTGCTATCTGGACACGCCTTATTCCCAGGAGAAAATGAAGCCGATCAATTGGCGTGCATTATCGAAGTATTAGGTATGCCACCGAAAAACTTGTTAACAAACTCAAAACGCGCCAAAGTTTTCTTTAACCCTGATGGTTATCCAAGATATTGCACAGTTCGAACTATGGCTGACGGTATGGTCGTTTTAATAGGTGGCCAGTCTAGACGCGGTAAGGCACGTGGACCACCATGTTCAAAAAGTTTTTCTAAGGCCTTAGATGGATGCAAAGATGCACTTTTTTTGAACTTTATTCGAGGATGCTTGGAATGGGATCCTGAGAAAAGACTTACGCCCGCAGAAGCTCTCAAGCATCCTTGGTTACGAAGACGACTACCTAGACCTCCAAATAACCAAAATGGAAGTGGTATGAGTGTTAGCAGCTGTGTGGGGAATATTAGTGATAACAACAAATCTCCTACAACAAATATAAGTAATGAAAGCGGAAACAGCCGAGGAGCTGACGAAAGTACTTCTACAACTAATGATCTCAGCACCGATAACAATATTGACGACTGCTTCACTAAAACTGGATCTGCAGCAGCAACTTTAGCCTCATCAATTATTTCGAATGTCACGTCAGATCAATTATGGGACTCTCAACATGCAAATATAGCTCAAAACAGAAACAGCAGTAAAATGAATAGTAAATTATCATCATCTTCAGAAATAGGAACGAGCGAACATGTAAAAGATACAACAGCTACATCTGCTCCAGCAAAAGCTTCCAACATTCTCTATACATCTTCGATTTCTCTTATATCGAATGCTGCCCATAGATGCGGAAGTGAGTATGCATCGAAACTCTCATCTACTCTGCAGAAAGATAAATAGTTTTAAACATTAATTTATATTTTATATATGTATGTCTCAGTGCGTGTATTGTTAATGTCTGAATAATATGGTTACTTATTCAAATTGCAAAATAATTCATTTTCTCTGACAAAAAATATACAATGTTTTTGCAAAATCACTACAAAGTATTTAAATTTCGATTTGGGGTTCACCGTACTTTTAACTAATGTATGATGAGTAATATGGCTTTTCTATTTAAACATATACAGAGCTACAAAAAACTATATATACCCACTACGTAAAACTGCAAGTTTTTCATCAACCAAATCATACGTAAGAAATAAAACTTCTTAAAAATTTGGAAAAGAATAAATTAACGAAGTTTTTAATGACAATTTATCGGTGAAATTTGTTCTCATTTCTTCATATTTTTTTTATAAATTATTGGTCGTTATTGCCCTTATTTACTAGGAATAGAAAAAAATTAATCAATTTTAACAATTTTTAATGAAAAACTTTCATTCACCATATTACTGTATATGTTGATATTATCCAATTCATGTTTTGCAGTATCTCTAAGTATGAGTGGTAATTAAAAGTTAATTTACTACCCCCAACTCTGATTAGAATGGCTCATTTTACATACAGACCCCATATTCTGGAGCAATTTAAGCCCAAGGAAATATTTTTTATAAAATATATTTCAAATTAAAAGGGTCCATACACAACACCAGCATGCTGGCATAAACAAGTAATTGTGCAAGTAATTGAACGTGTATGGGGTTGTGGTGCGATTGTGCCATCAGATTGTGTAATATCAAACTTAATTTGATTTTTTTGTGATTGTGCCAACATGCTTGTACTGTGTATGGGGAAATTTGCTTATTATTAGTTTTTATTATTAGTTTGGGGATAATTGTTATATGCCTACGGGTCGATTTCATGCTTGCGGTAAACAGAACAGGTCAGTTCTATGTAATATTTGTATTATTCGCAACGACCTTTACCACACAAAATTTCTGAAAAAAATGAATATTGTACAAGCATGCTGGTGTCATATAGGGTTCGAGCATGAAAGCACAATCAAATTATTGTGCCAGCATGCTGGTGTTGTGTATGGTCCCTTTAATTTTACTTTTGGTTGATAACAATATTACAGTTTTACTTGAAATCCATTTTTAGGGTTATGTTGTTTTCTATGCCTCTGTATGTATCTTGATTTCTTTTATTATGTTTTCCAAATATTTTGCTATTAGTGAGGGACCTTTTTTAGCAGCATCGTATTCAAAAATGATTTTTTATAGTTCGAATTATTATTATGATAAATAAAATATACAATATGGATCATATATGAGCGATCTAATAAAAACCCAAAATCGATCCCTTAGTATTTATTAAAACGAAGGAAATTGATCCAACATAATTTAATGAAAATAAACCAAAATTTTAATGAGACGAAAATTTGTTTTTAATTTTGAAACAGTTATCGTAAGATGTTTAAATCAAAAAACACGTATGTATGCTTATGTTGACGATCAGAAAATAAGTCATTTTACCCTGTAGGATTTAGTGATTTAACTAAAAATCAAGTTAAATTTTTGCTAAAAATTTAATGTAATCAATAAAGATCGTTTGGCACAGCAAAATGTAAAAATGTTCCCACCATAGGAAAATTACAATCCACCATAGAACTTTGCTATCATTTGGCACACGCTCTAAGCATTAAAATTTCATTACCAGTTATAGAAAAAATTCTAATGAAAAATATTTTAAGTACCATTTAATGAAAATGATATTTTTTTCATTATAACTTTTTTGATAATGTTAATGAATTTTCAAAAACAAATTTACAGTCTTCGTTCTTAAAAATAACGAACGAAATTGGCTTTACGTTTTTGTAACGAAAAAATAAATTTTCATGTGAGTGGCAACGAAAGAGCTTTATTTTTCAATATATTTTTGGTTTTTATACCCTACACCACCATAATGGTGAGAGTATTATACGTTTGTGCTGATGTTTGTAACGCACAAAAATATTGGTCTTATACCTTAAAGTATACCGATCGACTCAGAATCACTTTCTGAGTCGATTAAGCCATGTCCGTCCGTCCGTCTGTCCGATACAGGTCGCAATTTTCAAGATATTTTGCTGAATTGGACATTACGTGTTTTTCGGCCCAACGACGAAGCTTATTGAAAGTGGTTGAAATCGGTCCATTATTTCACCTAGCCCCCATATAACCCTACCCCCCGGAAAGGGCTTTTGAGTTCATAATTATGTTAAATATTGTAGTATCTCTACAAAAAACGGCAAAACTTAGTTCTATAAACTTCTTAATAATACTACCGATTTTCGTAATTATCAGACTTTATTTGACCCTAGCCCCCATACAAAATCCCTTTCAGAAAATGATTTGATGGTCAATAATTCACTAATAAACACTAGTATCACGATGAAATCCAGCATACATAACTCTTAATGTTAACGTAAAGTACCAAAAAAAAAAAAATATGTACCAAAATTATAGTGATTGGCCCATATTTACCCTTGCCCCCATATAACCTCTCTTTTAGAAAATTACTTTTTTCAACAAATTGTTAAAACATTTCGGAATTAAGGTCAACAACTTAAATGCTTTGTTATTAAATATAATCCACATTTTTAACATACTCAGTGGTGTAGGGTATCATATGGTCGCCCATGCCCGATTATACTTTCCTACTTGTTAGAAAATGAATTCGTTCGTAGTAAACGAAAGAAATGTCAGAAATAGACGATAGGCAAAGGCCTTTCGTTTGCCCAAAAAACAGCGAAAATTAATAATATGAGGCCACTTGAACCTGAATGCAATTTGCAATACAAACCTTTAAATTTCTTGAGACATTGCATACAATTTTCATGTTGTTTTTAAAAAAAAAAATTTTTCATAATTTAAATTTTTTTTTGTAAAATTATTTTATTTTTGTTTATTTTTTAGGGTTAACACCAAACCCCTTATTACTACAAGAAAAAATATTTAAATTTTCAGAAATGAATTACGTAGGCAATAATGTTCTGTTACGATAGAAAAAGCTCATTTCATTTTAGACATTTTTAAACGAAAACTTTCAAATGTTTTATAAAAAACTAATTTAAACTTGGTCGTAATAAAATAAAATGTTCGTGTGAGAACTAACAGCCTGTTTTTCTAAAACAATTTAGTTCTCACACGAACATTTCATTTTATTACGATCAAGTTTAAAATTAGGTTTTTATAAAACATTTGAAAGTTTTCGTCAAAGAATAAACAAGAAGTGAAACGCTGTCATTTTTTTACAACAATAACGTTACGCTCTTCTCACAGACGAGTGCTGTGTTAATCCAACACATATGTAAAAATGTTATTCTCTCTCCAAACTTCAAAACTTTTTCGCGAAAATTTGAGGATAATAGCACTTTGAAATATTTTTTATCACTTAACATTATATTTTATATTTTTTTTTGCACAATTTAAACACATTTAATAGCCCGAAAATAATATATTTTTTACAAACGAAAAAAAAATATTTTTTTATTTTTTGACATTGAATTTTTGTTGGTTTAAAATAAAACTAAAAAAACAATGTTGTAAATTTTCGTATGGTAAACGAAAAAGATATTTCAAATAAATAATTTATTTTTTCAATATTATAGATTAAAAAACAAATAGACGTGTTTATAAAATGTTTGTAGATAAAATATGTGGAAAATATCTTAAGAAACCTTTCAAAGTATAAATTGAAATGTAATATTTTTTTCAATATTTTTCAATACGATTTTTAGCAACTATGTCGACTTGAGAATTCTACTAATACATTCTTAGAGTTAGGTACCGGATGACAGTAGACTTAGGTACTTTTGACAACAGTTTCATTTCTTATTTATTCTTTGGTTTTCGTTTAAAAATGTCTGAAATGAAATGAGCTTTTTCTATCGTAACAGAACATTATTGCCTACGTATTTCATTTCTGAAATTTTAAATATTTTTTCATGTAGTAATAAGGGGTTTGGTGTTAACCCTAAAAAATAAACAAAAATAAAATAATTTTACAAAAAAAATTAGATTATGAAAAAATGTTTTTTTTTTTTTAAAACAACATGAAAATTCTATGCAATGTGTCCAGAAATTTAAAGGTTTGTATTGCAAATTGCCTTCAGGTTCAAGTGGCCACATATTATTTCATATTTTGGTATAATTTTCGCTGTTTTTTGGGCAAACGAAAGGCCTTTGCCTATCGTCTATTTCTGACATTTCTTTCGTTTATTACGAACGAATTCATTTTCAAAAAACCAAAAATATATAGAAAAATAAAGCTCTTTCGTTGCCACTCACATGAAAATTTATTTTTTCGTTACAAAAACGTAAAGCCAATTTCGTTCGTTATTTTTAAGAACGAAGACAAATTTTCATTTTAGAAAAACAGGCTGTAAATCACTTTCGTTGCCACTCACATGACAATCTATTTTTTTCGTTACAAAAAAGTAAAGCCAATTTCGTTCGTTATTTTTAAGAACGAAGACAAATTTTCATTTTAGAAAAACAGGCTGTAAATTGTTTTAGAAAAACAGGCTGTAATTAGTATTTGTAATTGTCGAAAAATATATTTGATAAGAATTCAGGAAATTTTTTCGAAGATTCGAGCACAGGTTTGAAAGCTTTTAAAACCAGTTCCCGCAGCCCAAATTGGCTTAAATTTAGCAGTCATAGGTACATCTGGTGAGAATACAATAATATGTTCAAATATTCGAAATTAAGTTCGAAAATTCGAAGTTATTTTCGAAAAATTTTTTATGTTTTTAAATGAATCTCTATGTCATAAAAACTAAAAATTTTTTTCGAAAATTCGAACTCGTGTTCGGAAAAATTTTAAAGCTGTTAAAACTAGTTCTTCTAGTCCGAATGGGCTAAATTTGGCATGCATGATTTCACCTAATGACAATACATTATAATGTTCGGATATTCGAAATTAATTTCGAAATTCAAACCAATGTTCGAAAATCCATTGAATAATGGTAATGATAATTTATTTTTAAATAATTACTAATAAAATCGTTTCATTAAAAGGCATTACCATTAGACAAAATAATGCTAGTGAAAAAAAATAATAATTATAATTTTTTTCAATTTAATGCTAATGAAATCGTCAATTAATTAGTCGATATAATTAACTACTCCCATGTATGATATGTAGATAGGAATATTGCTGGATATTGACTGCATTTATAATAAGTAATAATTTGGTAAAAACAAAGTATGTATGTATGTATACGAATATAAGAAAATTGCACAGGTAACTAAAAGCTGCTCTTTTATTTATGCACTAGAAGCTAACTCATCATGAGGTATAATGAGTGATTACTGACTCGTTCCTATGACATTACATTGAAAAACTGAATAGCATTTTATAAGCAAAGTGGTTAGCTTTTGAGTTACCTCTGACTCATTTGTGGTTTACCATAAGTTAGTTTTAAGTCACTTCCAATTATTCTTAAATGATTTATTCTAGGCTTCTAAAACATAGCACATGTGGCTCTTACCTTCAACAGAAGTCTTTTGAGTTCGATTTAGTATGTATATCGTCATATGAAATCCAAAAAGCCCTAACTTACATTGAACAAATTTTTCAGGAGAAGCAAAAAACCGTCTAAAATGATAAATAAACAAAAAATGTTCAATATTTTCTCAAGTTAAGCTTATTTCTTATTGACAAATTATTATTTGAAGAAAAGTTTGCAGTTTTTGTTTTACTTACGGAGATATGAAACTTACGCCCTTGAGAATTTTTTTTCTGAAACCCAAAAGGGCGCAAATTACATTAAAAAATGGTAAGTTTTAACATTTTCATTTTGTTTTATTTGATGCCAACTTATAACATTTCAGTTTTGAAGTTAAAAATTCAAAAGAATTTTAAAATTTTTATTAATTTTAATGTAATTTTAGAACAAAACCTTTTAGAATTTCTTTAATAGGGACGTTGATTTTAATTTTAGGAGTGTAAAATTTAGCAGGAACATGTATTATATATATTATATAAAAACAAAGTGGACCCGTTATTTTCAGTCTCTGTATGCTTGTGGAATATCTTCCGCGAGAAGGCATTGAGGAATGAGTATCGCATCTTTTAGAATGAGTAAATATGTCTCTTAGAAGGCCTAAAAATCGAAGTCCTACCATTTTTTCCGCTGGGTTGCGGTGGCTGGTAGTGGTATTGGTTTCACTAATTTACCATCTATAAAATCAACTGCTCCTTCATGATGATCCAATAAATCACGCATCTTGGGTTTCCAGATTGGGCAATCCAATTCATTTTGAAGAGGCTTGATGTGTTTTGAAAAATCCATTTTTACTTACAGATTCTTCTTGTAATCTAGAAGTATTTTAATCTTTATAAAATGTCTTTAATATCTTGTAAAATTTCTGAATTCTTGCTTTTCTTGATATCTTCAAAATTTTTTTAATTTAAAGTTTCTTGAAAATTTTAATAATTTTATTTTTTGAGTTTCCTGGACACAAAACCTTTTGTTGTAAATGTTTTATTTCGAATGAAAATATTTTTGAGAATTGAAAAGTCAACAAATCAGTAGACAAAGTATGTATATGTATTAAACATAACATAACAAATTAATTCAACAACTTGAAAGAATAAGTCCATCAAATTTAATGGTCAAGAGTGGTTACATGTTGTAGTAATATGCATTTAAAGTTAAACTTCTAAAAAAAATAACCACTATAGTCCATATTTAATTGCTGTACCAACTATAAGTAAAGAATTTCGTGGTCGCAAAGAGTTGAAACCATATTTATACAATTTCAGAATATGTCGCTGGCTGCGACCTGAGCCTTTATGTTGAGGACAGCGAATTTAACAAGTCCCAAATAAATGAACCACAAATGTGAAATTAATGATGCATATATTTGAGCAACCGTTTATTTCTATTAAAAAATACAATTATTACAAAAGAAACTTATAAATAATTTAAGCGACTTACCGCAGTCTTTATCCCCAACAAACTAAACTTTAATATTAATGTCAGTTAATACTGAGCCTACAAATTCTTTTGTCTATGTATTTTTACAACAGTTTATTTCCAAATAAATAAACTGAACGAAACTACTGCAGTAGAATATAGGGACAAAGAATGCGTTTAGTTCGTAAACAAATGAGAACAAAAAGGAATGCAAAACAATATAAAAAAAATCCTAACGGACAAATGAACTAAACAACAACAATGATCTTACAATAAGTATCACTAACAATTTGGTAAATAAGACAAAATTAAACAACATTAGGATAGCCCACAAAAAATATTTAAATTAACAAAAATATTTTAAATTAAATGAAAATAAAAATAATAAATTGATGAGCCATCAGGCGACATTCCCACCACCGTGGATCGGCAACGATTCACCATCCAAATCAAGGACTGCTAGTTTGGAAACCGGGCGTTTAAGTATTCCACTACTTGTTTGGACATCAGCTCTCCGTATTACACCATCACTGCCAGGGAACACATTTATGACACGACCTCTCTTCCAATCTCGACGGGAAACAGCTGGATCACAAATTAGTACAAGATCACCCGGAGCCACAGGCTTGGTATATTCACACCATTTTGACCGTCTTGTAAGTGTGGGCAAATATTCAATAATCCATCTTTTCCAGAAATGATCTCGTAGCTGTCTAGCAATTCGCCACTGCTTTTTCAGTACCACTGGCTTTGTTATTTCAATACCTTATGGTGTTTGAGCTGTATTTGTAGATCCCAACAAGAAATGATTTGGCGTCAATGGTTCTTCGTCTTCAAGGCTGACAGGCAAGTGAGTCAATGGGCGAGAGTTTACGATGTTTTCGGCTTCAATTAAAAAACTTTGCAATGTGTGCTCTTTTGGGGCGACTTCTTTAAGAGTTACTCTTAAAACCTTTTTAACACATTGAACCATTCGCTCCCATATACCACCTTCTGCAGGATTATGTGGACAATTAAACTGCCATTCAATGCCCTTTGTGGACAACTCATCTTCAATTTTAACAAGATCAAAAACTTCATCAAATTGCTGGGCTTCTTGGTTAACTCCAACTAAATTCTTTCCGTTGTCGCTACGAATCTTCAACGGGGTGCCACGACGATTTATAAAATTCCGTATACACAAAATACACGCATCAGTCGAAAGATCATAAGCCACTTCTAAATGTACTGCTCTGATTGTGAGGCACGTAAACAGGGCAACCCAACGTTTTTCATGACGTCTACCAACAGTCACGTTTATTGGGCCAAAATAGTCCACACCAGTATAAGTAAATGGACGGACGTATGGAGTTAGTCTATCACTTGGCAATGATCCCATAAAAGGAGCCACTGGAACGGCACGTCGAATCTTACAAATGTTGCAATTTGATGTGGTCTTACTCAACAGCTTTCGTAGTCGTGGAATCCAGAACCTTTTCCTTATTTCGCCTATGGTAGCCTCAAGATTTTGATGTCTCATGTTATTATGCACATGGGCAACAAATAGTTGTGCAAAGCGGTGACAGGGCGACAAAATAATGGGGTGCCTAGCATCTAAAGGCAACCAACTCGCAGCATCAATACGTCCGCTCACTCGAAGTAAATTATTTTCATCAAAATAAGGCGAAAGCGAAAATAACTCGGTTTCCTTTTTTAAAGAACCACCAGATTTTAAAATGTTTATTTCAAGGGCGAAACACTCTTCTTGGGACAGACGACACAGACTAGTTTCAGCAACCCTTAACTCTTCAGCAGATAGGCATCTCGAAACATTATATTTATCATCTTTTCGGCAACGATTAATAAATCTCAGAACCCAAGCCATAGTACGTTTAAGCCTGAGAAATGAAGAAAAACGATTAAAATCAATAACTAAATTTGTACTAACCAGCATGACAAATTTGGGGCGTAGTTCTTCTTCACACAAATCATCAGATTTCTCAGAATTCTTATTCGGCCAATCAGCTTCGTTTTCATACAAAAATTGTGGCCCTTGGAACCAACGTGTTTCAATAGCAAAATCAACTTCATTTTTAGCTCTTGTAATGTCATCGGCAACATTTAGATCCGTAGGCAACCATCTCCAATCAGTTGGGCGTGTCGAATCAAGTATTTCGGCAATTCGATGGGCAACAAATGGTTTATATCTCCTACTTTCAGAACCAATCCAGCTAATGACAGTTGTAGAGTCACTCCAACAGATTCGACGAGAAACATTGAGATCGTGTTCCTTCATTATAGTGTCCATCAATCGGGTCCCCAAAACGGCGGCTTGTAGTTCTAATCTGGGAATGGTCATACATTTCAATGGGGCACATTTCGACTTGGCAGATATAAACGACACTCCTATTTGTCCATCAGATGTTGTATATCTCCAATAGGCCACTGCACCGAAGGCATCTTCACTGGCATCAACAAAAACATGCAGCTCTAACTCCAAGGGCAAACCATTTCCAAAATACCATCGTGGAACCTTTACATGGACAACATTTCTTAGCTCTTGGCGCCAATTATTCCACATCGCTTGTAATGACACGGGCAACATCTCGTCCCAAAGTACTCTATGTCTCCAGACTTCTCTCATCAAAAGTTTGGCAGTTATCATAAAATGGCACAAAAAACCAATTGGATCAAAAATGGACATTACGACACATAACAACTCACGCTTTGTGGGACAACTTTTACCATTGATCACGTCCGAATTCACACGATGGAATTTCAAAACAAATTTGAACGCGTCATCCTTTGGATCCCAAAGCATGCCAAGAACCTTTTCAGTTGAACCGTCCAACTCTTTAAGCCACCTAAGAAACTGACCTGATGATTTAAACTGCCTTCGAGAGCCACAACCACCTCTGATGAATTCAATGTAAAATTACGCATTTCAAACGCAGCAGCTTTATGTATTTCACGAACTTGTACGGCAGTTTCAATGGCTTTTGACGGATTAACAAAACTGTCTACAAAGTCATCTACATAATGATCCCGATACTCCATTGCATTTGCTTCCTTCACATAATGGGCAATACAGGGTGAACAGGCAGCTCCAAACGTCATCACAAGCATCTCATACACTTCCGGTGGACCACTTTCATTATCTCGCCACAAGAACCTCTGCGAACACCTGTCTTCTTCAGCAACAACAACTTGATGAAACATTTCCTTTATGTCTCCGCATACAGCTACGGAACCGACTCTGAAATTAAACAAAACGCATGGCAACGGTTTGTACTGCTGAGGGCCTTTCAATAACTTTGACTTCAATGAGACACCTTCCACCTTTGCTGCCGCATCAAACACCAAACGAATTTTCCCTGGCTTATTAGGGTTAACGACACCAAAGTGGGGCAAGTACCACGTTCTCGGATGAAATGTATCAACTTCACTCAATGATAATTTGCGTACATAATTTTTTTTCAAATATTCACTTATTATTTTCTTATAGGCCACACCAAAATCCGCATTATTTTTCATTTTCCTTTCCAATCCAAAAAATCGATTAAGTGCCATGGAATAGCTATCCGGCAGGACTACGTCATCATTACACCATAGTAGTCTGGATTCAAATCTTCCGGCAACCCTCTTCGTCGAATTTCTCAATATCTCTCGTGCACGCAAATCGTCTCTTGACTCAATCACCGGTAGAGCCTTAACACCAAAATTTTCTGTTTCAAAATAACTTGCCACCAAATTATTCAAATTATCCAACTGTGTTGTCAGCAAACAAGTTTGTGTTCCAAGCACTGGCTCGACTGTTGAAGATCTCTCTGTTGGCTGCACATTTACGGATCGTTCGCTTGGTTCATTAGGTTTAGTTTCATGCAATAATTTATTGTGATTTCTTTGGCACTTTTCCATGGGACACTGCTTGCGCCGACGACAATCTTTACATGAATGGCCACCACTGAGACACGAAAAACACAACTTCAATCTCTTCACTTCACTCCATCTATTAGGCACACTCAATTCTATAAATTTCTTACAATTAAAAATTTTATGTGGGCCAACACAATAAAAACATTTTAACTGCCGTTCTGGGCCATCAGAAGCATATAAAACCACTTTTCTTTTTGGATCACTGCTAGATCTACCGCCACTTGAACTACTTATTTGCACACTTCTTACCAAATTTGCAACACGCTGGAGCCAGGTACTAAAATCCGAAATAGTCGGCAATTGAGGAAAAGTTGAAGCAAACTGGGCCCAATCCAAACGTTTACTCATTGGAAGCTTCTGGACTAACTCCTCCATCAGAGTTGGATTCGACAAATGTTGATGACCATTGGCAGATTCCAAAAATGCTGCTAAATTTCTGACCTTAATGGAATATGGCACCAATTTATCGATCGCGTTTTCTGCTATGGGCTGAACTTCCTTCATCTGTTGCAACTGGCATCGAATAAGCAACTCTGGGCGACCATATTGTAGCTTTAATTGCTCTATAACTGTTGGCACATTATTTGGGTGGATGAGCAACGACTTCACACACTCTCTGGCTTCACCTTTCAAAGCCTTCTGCAATCTCAAACAATTTTCAAAATTATTGTACGAATATGCGGCTGTCGAATGTTCAAGGGCAGACAAAAACATTGGCCAGTCTTCGGCAGTACCACAAAATTCAGGCAGATCATAAAGTTTGCGTTGTACTGGCATGGACACTGTAGCAGGGGAAACAAAAAGAGGCTGAGATGTCATCAACTGGTCTGACTGACTACCATAGCAATATGGCGTTGGATTCCGACGATCAACCATGTCTTCAGGGCCACTGCTCATACTTTGAATTACTGGCGCATTTTGTCCAATAACACTTGGCATATTTAAATTTTGATTTGCTCTTAAAGCACGTTGAGCGTTTGCCAACTGGGCTTGCAGGATATCAATTTGTCGTTGCAGGTTCTCATTATCAGACGATATAGCTTGTGGTGGCTGGGTTCTCGCATTAGGACCGGGCACCAACGGCGGCAGACTTAAGGGCTCTTCAATTGATGAACTAAAAATGTTATGCGTTGATATGGCAGGTGTCGGTTCTCTAGGGGCACTTATGGAGGCACTAGTTGCTGTTGTTGTTCCGGGGGCGACAGAACTGACATTTTGTACCGACGGCATTTGAGACACATTTGCTAAACTTTCAGTTTCGGCAGGCGTGGAACTTTTCACATTTTGGCTCGTTGCCGTCTGCAAACGAGTGCTTTTTCTAGCTGGCGACCGTTGCATTACGAATCTCAAACGTTTTCAAAGGGCACACAAATCACAAATATTAAACAGCAACACACTCCAAATATTTCACAAAAAATAAATTTGTTCCGGCAGGACAGCAAATAACTTCACACAAATTCAGCTTAATAAAAGTTTTACTCGTTCCGTCATATAAGGAACCACAAAAATGCACACAATTATTTTAAACACTTTGTTCCAGCAAATATAGAACCACTTCACAATTATTTCAATTTGTTCCGGCAGCTTGGAACCACAAATCAAAAATCCAAAATATTTTATTTGTTCCGGCAGCTTAGAACCACAAATCAAAAAAAGGCTTATCTTGTTCAGGCACCTTGGAACACCTTCGCTCAAGATTTCAAATAAATTTCGTTGTTCCGGCAGACATGGAACACAACCGCACCAAGGAATGCGAAATAAAATTTGTCGCTGGCTGCGACCTGAGCCTTTATGTTGAGGACAGCGAATTTAACAAGTCCCAAATAAATGAACCACAAATGTGAAATTAATGATGCATATATTTGAGCAACCGTTTATTTCTATTAAAAAATACAATTATTACAAAAGAAACTTATAAATAATTTAAGCGACTTACCGCAGTCTTTATCCCCAACAAACTAAACTTTAATATTAATGTCAGTTAATACTGAGCCTACAAATTCTTTTGTCTATGTATTTTTACAACAGTTTATTTCCAAATAAATAAACTGAACGAAACTACTGCAGTAGAATATAGGGACAAAGAATGCGTTTAGTTCGTAAACAAATAAGAACAAAAAGGAATGCAAAACAATATAAAAAAAATCCTAACGGACAAATGAAGTAAACAACAACAATGATCTTACAATAAGTATCACTAACAATTTGGTAAATAAGACAAAATTAAACAACATTAGGATAGCCCACAAAAAAATATTTAAATTAACAAAAATATTTTAAATTAAATGAAAATAAAAATAATAAATTGATGAGCCATCAGGCGACAGAATATTTTTTCGAAAATGTGCTCTTGAATAAGTCCTTGTGGGAGAAGCTTAAATGTTGGAAAAATAAACGTGAACGTTTCGAAAAAATGGCACTTTTGCGAAGCACATTAATGTAACTTCATACTTGTGTATGAAATTAATTTCCAAACTTTATATAGATTTTCATTTTAACGGTTTTTATATTATTTATTAGTGTCCGACCGAACATTCGGGTACGGGTTCGGAGTTCGGTAAAAAGTGAGGTTCGGTCAATGTTCGGTGTTCGGCGAAATTTTGACCGAACACCGAACGCCGAACTTTTTATAAAATGTTTTTTTATCATATTTTTATATCGTCAAAAAGTTTTAAAAATGCTGAAAATCTGTTTACAGAAGTTATCATACATCCTGGCTGTACAATAAACTTCGGATATACATAGGTACAAAACGCCTTTTTAACCGTTCATTTTTTCGGCTGATTCGAAAAACTGTTAACCAGGAACTGATTAAAAAGTTAAGAAAAGTGAAACATTTAATTTGAATTATCTAGTTTCGATTATAAATCTTTAATTTCATTTGTAACATCGAAATTTTCTAGGTTCTTATTCTCAAACGATCTAGACATGTCTGTCAGTCAGTCAGTCTCTTGAAAAAACGATAGGACCTAAACTATTGTTGCAGTTTGATTGGTATTCGAAATGGACAAAATCGGTTTACATTTGGACCTGGCCTCCATATAATGTTCGCTTATAACAGGCTTAAAAATACTAGTATTTCATATAAATTCGCAAAATGAAATTTGCGAATTGTGTTAAGTATTGTATATATATTTTTTATTCATTTTGATTTCGATACATATTTAAAACGAAATTTTGATCACATTGGATCATAATATCATGTATAACAATATTATGATAAATACAAAAATATCATGATGAAATATTTTGACGATATTTAATAATATGATATTTTAAAATTGTTACAATAACGATATGTTTAGACTACAATCATAATTTTAATCATAATATGTTGTTCTTAGAACATGGTTATCACAACCATGTTGTTTCTCAGCGTGCTCTTACAGATAATTATATCATTGTCAATAAATCGTTTAAAAACCAAAAATAAAAAGTATCATTTTTCATTTAAAAAAAGTTCGTGTTCACCGAACTTTGAAAACCGAACAAAGTTCGGGGTTGGCCGAACTTTCAAATTTACCGAAGTTTGGGTTCGGTACCGAACGAAATTTTGAGTTCGGTCGGACTCTATTATTTGTCATTTAAATTCTGAAAAGGAAGCTGCAAATAATAAACAGTAATTGGCTAACCACAAAAGAAATTGATAGGTCAATTATATATCTCAGTTGCCACTTCAGTTGCGTTGCCAGTTGCCAAAATGTGGTTACTGGACTTTTTTAAGCAAACACATTTTATAAATAATGAATTTTTAATCATTAAGGTATTTTCAGACTACAATACTGAGTATTAACACACTTCAAATTAAAAATATTATGAAAATAATTCGCATTTTCAAA